AAACAACGAATGCCATGAGTGCCCACCATCGGTTATTGTATGTTGCATTCAGGATGCGTGGCGTGTGCCGCCGTTTTCCTTTCCCGATGAGACCTCCCGTCACTGGGCGTGATACTCACCTCGGAACTCCCGATGCAGTAAGGGATGTGGTTCGGATTGATCCGAGCTATATCACACGTTTAGGAGTGACGCCGAACTTATAAGTCCTGTGTGAGTATTGCACAACCCAATGCGGAATAAATAAACACTGACAAAAGCCACGACTGCCGTCCGTCAGTCGTTTGTGGTTGTGGTTCGGATTCATCCGACCTACAAACGAAGGCAAAAGAAGATGGGGAGCTATCGGAGTCATGATTTCTGGAGATGTTTACTTCGAAGCGATCCCCTGTGCCGTCGTTGTCCCTTCCACTGAGACATCGGAGGGATGCGGTTCCCGTTGAGACTTCCCACGAGCCGAGGGTTGTGGTTCGGATTCATCCGAACTTCATCACACGTTCCGTAGTGAGGCGAAACAAAAAACGTCCAGTCCTGTGTGAGTATTGCACAACCCAATGTGGAATAAATAAACACTGACAAAAGCCACGACTGCCGTCCRTCAGTCGTCTGTGGTTGTGGTTYGGATTCATCCGAGYTACAAACGAAGRCAAAAGCAGATRRGGAGCTATCKTACTCATGATTTCAGGAGATGTTTACTTCGAAARCGATCCCCTGTGCCRTCGTTGTCCCTTCCACTGAGACATCGGAGRGATGCGGTTCCCGTTGAGACTTCTCACGAGCCGAGGGTTGTGGTTCGGATTCATCCGAACTACATCACACGTTCCGTAGTGAGGTGAAACAAAAAACGTCCAGCCTGAGAATTGCATAACCCCTCGTGGGAGACAAAGAACACCGGCGGAAGTCGTGAGTGGCGGGTTGTCATGGAAAGGGGGTCGCCTCAAAACTCTCGATGGGGGAACGTTGTGTGTAAACAATAGGTCGGATGTAAGGGGGGCGTAGTCATCCAACCACTTGCATCGCAAATGACATCTACTATTGCCTTCATCCCGAGATCTGATGAATCCGAACTCCATCCGGAACAAGTGGCACGAACAACACTCTCTCACTTCCGCTGCAATCCCGAGAACGCCTCCCTAAGCTGCTCTGGAAAACAAGGCTGCGATTAATTGGAATCGAAATGTGATCGGCGTGGATCGGTAGCTGATCGTTTCACGAGGTCATTGTGCGTTCATTCAGCTCAGATTTCGAGACTTCAAACGTCGCGAGGATTGTCCACGTCAGAGTTCGCCCAAAATGAATCATGGCGAGGGGACGGGCTGCCGCACGGGCGGCGGTGCTGTGAAGTTTTCCTGTGGGCGCGATGGAACTTGTGAGCGCTGGTTCCATATTCAAAATGTTGCCGATGCGTGTCCGGCCTCTCGCGCCCGAGTGCGTGGCGGTTCCTCATTGCTAGCTGCGTGTGCGAGAGTGGGTGATGAGACAAGGAACTTTCAAGACAACAAGAAAAAGATCCTGATGTCGTCCACAACCACGATAGACATGTTCAATCACTGAGTCGATCGGAAACGAGCTTGAAGTTGGCACTTGGCGGTAGGATGTCGCGGGATCGGAGGTAATCTGGGATGTTTCGGATTCGCCATGGGTATCCTTTGTGCTGAACGTTGTGGATGGGTGGCTTGGCCACAGTTGGGTGTGAGTGCGACATGGGCGATTCCTGTTGGAGGTGCGCGTTTGTCGTGAGGCTTCCAGCTATCAGCGCTGCGATAACAGATCGTCCGATAGACGTCAACACCGGAGATGGATGGACGGGATCTTAAAGTTGATGGACACGCGTTTTTCAGATGACGTCTCAGGTGTTGACGTCTAACGGGTGATGTGTTATCGCAGCGGTGATCACATACCGCGATTTTGAGGACGCCAGGGAGCAACGGAGATGAAACTTCGTCCACGCGTCAGATGCGGTCGTCGGAGGCATCCGACGATCTAGACTGGGAAAGCCGCAGACCATTTCGAATTACAGACGTCATGCGCAAGATGGTGACGTCAGCGTGTGTCAGAGGAAGGGAACTTTCATGGTTGTGAGCTGCGGACATCGTGGACTGAAGATCGCGCGCATGTCGACTCGTGCGTGATAGACGGAGGAGGCGATGATGTAGAAGAATACTCGCACGACCGACTGCATTGCGATATCCTAAGTAGACTGGGGGAGGACGACCCGCGAGCCAGGGTCCAAGAAAGTGTRCCAACAAGCSATGTCGAGGACGCCAAGACTCGAGGGCGATGCGACTTTCTCCACGCGTCAGATGCGGTCGACGGAGGGCGCCAAGACTAGAGGGCGATGTTGAGGACGCCAACAAGCGATGGTGAGGACGCCAACAAGCGATGTTGAGGACGCAAACAAGCGATGTTGAGGACGCCAAGACTCGAGGTCGATGTCTATGAAAGCCGCAAGCCATTGCCCGTTGCTGACGTAATGTGCAAGATGATGACGTCAGCGTGTGTCACTGCATGGGGTCTTCCTTCGTTGTGATCGGTGGGCGTCGTGCGCTCAAGATCGTGTGCGCGTGATTGGCGGAGCAGGTGGTGGCAGAGAACAACACTTGCACGGTCGAAGGAGCGGAAGGGCAATGGGAAGAGGTGGGGGCTCGAAATGAAGAAGGGGTCGAGCAGGGGGCATGGGCTTCTTACTGACCTGCGAGTCGACAAACGCCTCCTGCCAACACAAGAACGCACAGCGCGAATGGGACGACGCGCAAGGTCTACAGTCGCGTGACGTTTTCGTTAGCGCCCCCGGCTATCGACGATTGCTGGAAGAACGATGGCCTGGATGCGCAAGGGGCCTGCGATATGATGCAGGCGACTTCGAGCGATGGCGAACGCGTCGCAAAGGCAGCACACGGAAGACATGACACCAGCGAACGGGTGTGACAGCCACCCCCATTCGTTTGGTGCCCGACAAGAGAACGGAGAGTGCAGTGAGTGGGGCTTGAGGGGCCCTTCAGCTGCTCGCCGCAGGTACTGCCGCGTCGGGGGCTGTGACATCAGGCGGTCCCTTTTTTGACGGACCCTCCTCACGAAATCGCACGGTCCGAAACCGTCGCGGGAGGGCGGGCCATGATTGCGAGAGGACTGGCCTTTTTTCACCGTGCTATCGACGGTCTCAACGCATCATCTGCCGCAAATTTTCCCGCCCACTTTTGAATATCGGAGCCCACGCAGATTTTACCGTGATATCGACGGTACCAACGCGTCATCCGACGTGGCTTTTCCTGCCCACTTTCGTTTCTTGGGCCCCGCTCGGATGTATCCGCCTTTCGAATGACGGTGGCGCCATTCCGCGAATTTGCAGGTGGGCATTGCAATCGTCCGAAGCAGCAGGCAATCGCAGGTGTCACCAACCCTCACGGCCGAAAATGCCCGTCGCGCGCCCGGACCACCCGCCCTTGCCAGCGACACAGCCATCTCGTCGCCGAGGGACACAGCCATCTCGTGGCCGTCTCCCCCGCCGTTTGCCTCGCTTCTCTCTCTCGCCCTCGTCGCCATATCCCTCGCCTCGCCATCTCCTTCGCGTCGCAATCTCCCACGTCTCCATTCGCGGTTTTGCCCTTTCACGCGTCGACACCTCCCTTTTTCGCGCGTCGCGACACGCGTCGTCGTATTGCGGTTTGAGATCATCAACCAAGCCGCCGGGGCCATTGTTTCCGACAACAGTTGTAAATCGAGGAAAGAAAAGGTGCGTTCTCTCTCTCATTCTATCTCCCTTTCTCATCTCTCTCTGTCTCAATTCCCGTCTCTCTCTCTCTATTGGCTCTGCCTCTCTTTCTCTCTCT